CGCACCCCCAGGATCAAGGGTGGTTGGATTGGAACAACCTAAGCGGGAGCTCCTGAGGCCACCTGCGCTCAGGGAGAGGGCCTGCCTAGAGCCAGAGCCATGGCAGGGGACTGAGTTCCAACGACAGCACTTCAGCTCGTGTTCAGCCGCGGGTGACACCCACCCAACCACTTCCGTTTTGGATGCCATAGGTGGTGTACACCCCAGAGGTCACACAGCCCTCTCCCCCTCCACCATCTCTTCCTTCTCCAGCATCACACGCCATGCTGCGGCCCCCAGGGAGGGGCCAGGGCCCAGTCAGGCCTGAGTACCTGCTCCTCCAGCCCACGCACCCGCTGCCGGTGGGCCCGCTCCCGCGCCTCCAGGGTGCGTTCTGTCTGCACCTGGGCACTGCGCAGGCGCTCGACCTCCTGCTGCAGCTCCAGCTGTTGCTGGTCCTCTGCCTCCAGTGCCTCCAGCTCGACTGGGCTCTGGTCCTGCTCCAGCACCACCACCTGGGCCTGCAGGAGAGGCTGCCAGTCAGGAGTCTGACCGTGTGTGTGTGTGTGTGTGTGTGTGTGTGTGTGTGTGTGTGTGTGTGTGGTGTATGCACAAGGAGGTATTAGGCACCTCCCCAGGGCAGGAGCCTGAAGGCCCTTGGGGCAAAGCCAGTGTAGGCAGGGGATGAAGGAGAGATCCTTGTTTGTTCCTGACCCCTGGCCCTCCTGGTCTGTGATGAGGGTACCTAGTGACTCCCATTCAGATACATACACATACACACACGCAGATATATTCAAACACAGGCCCATATATATACAGATACAAAAGAAAGCATGTTCACCTGGGTGTATACATATGTGCAAAAGCCTAAGACTCCTACATACATGAAGACATCTGTACACAGACACGCATACAGATATAACATTGTTAATACTCAGACTTGCCACATCTGTGCAAGATTTAAGCACCAGAATATACCCATGAACACTCATGCCTCTACATGTCCACAACACACATCAACACACAGACTCGGGTGCTAACTGACCGTCAGCATCTTTCTCTCAGCTTTGGGGGGACCCCTCCCTCTGGGACCTCACTCTGAGCCCTAGGGTCCGGGCTCAGCGGTTGTGGGCTCTGAACTGGCTGAGCCATCAGCAACTCCTGACTCAGGCTGGGGTGGGGCAGGGGTTAGGGAGATGGGGTGCCCAGGACTGGGTGGGCAGGGGCGGGACCTCCAGCAGCTGAATCTGCCTCTGGGCCTCGGCCAACTCCAGCTCGGCCCCCGTGAGTGTGCGGTCCAGGCGGCCCTTCTCCGCACTCAGCCGCACTGTGTCCTCCTGGCTGCGGAGCTTCTCCCGCTCTACCTAGGTGGGGAGAGCAGGAGGGAGCAGGGTGCCGGGAAGTGGGGGGCTCCGGGAGAGTGTTAGGTTAGAGGCAGAAGGGCCAGGGACCCTAGTGACATGCAGCTGGACCGACCATGGCTATGCCCTAAAGGAAGTGAGGGGAGGGTCCTGGGGAGCAGCCCACCTTGTCCAGCGTCTTCTTGAGGGCCACCCGGTCCTTCTCCAGCCGCAGGGCT